TGACTTGTTAGCCACACTTTGGTCTTAGTAATGATATTTATTTACAATGTCATTGCCAAATATGCCTATCTCCATGATTAGCAGTATTCTTCCTTTGAATATTTTAATTATTGCAAGTATCCTGCTGGCTGTGTCTACTTTGTTTTTCTTTGTCTACATACTTTTTGGAGGATTTTGTTGTCATTGTTGTTGTTCATTTGGAAACAGGGTCTCACTATGCAACTCTAGCAGTCCTGAAACTCAAGATGTAGACCAAGCTGGTCTCAAAGTCACAGACATCTGCCTGTGTCTGCCCCTCAAGTACAATGGAGTATAGCATACTGCCTGGCTCATATCACTGTGTGACAGTGGTACATCTGTTTCATTTACCCAGTTCCTACCTTCTTTTCCCCAGAGAGTAAGGCTTCATCTGTGCTTATGGATTTTCCAAAGAGCCCAAGAGAAATGCAATATCATGTGTCTCTGAAGAATTGTTTAAATTTTATTTTTAATTATGGCTAAAACTGTACTACCAATTTTGTTTTCATGAGATTATCTAGAGATACAGGATGCCAAAGGTAATCAAATACTGATATTCTCAATTATACTGAAGATACCTATTTTATACTGTTTGTACACAATGTGAGGGGAGAATTTACTGACAAAAGCAGGGCTGTCTTTCACCCAGCACCATTCCTCCATGTAAACTTCCTGCACAGATAATTTAATTGAAAGATAAAATGACTCTGGAGTAGAAGGCAGGAACTAAACAACTGTTCCATATACTTGGCAAACATACATGCAGTTCTTTTCCATCAGTTCTCTGTCCAATTTAATATACCAAACTCAGTGAATACTTGGTACTGGCACAAATATAAACTCATTGATCATGTGATTAATCATGTTACAATTTCTTCATTTCATTTTTACCCATTTAACTTGTTCACTCCTATATAGATGACCAGGCATGAGGTAGTAAGAAGTTGTGAAACTTTCAACGTTTATTAAAATATGACTATTTTTAATTATAAAAGCCACATTATTGCAACAAAATTACAAATTAAATATTGCACAGCTTGATTAAGGTAATATTCAAATATCTTTCAGTCCCAAACATCACAAAACAGAAGCATATTTTAAGTGTGAGAATTAATGGACACAGTAAATTTTCTAGATGAATAAACATTTTTCAGTTCATGATATTTATGTACTGTATTTGTTGTAATCACTGATAAAAAGAAAATTTAAATATCCACAGAAAACCAGAGTTTTTTTTACATATTTAATGATCAAAATATTATATATCACTGACAATTATAAAATACTTAAATTATTTAAAATATGAATTAATTAAACATTTACTAGTAATGGTGGAGTTTAATACTGCATGCTAACGTTTCTCCCAGAGAAATTCAGTAGCAAAGTAGGAGGCAAAATAAGGATGGAAGTTCCAAGTTCTCTTTAAAACAAACATGAAAACGATAACCAATCATACTATAGAGTAGTGGAGGCCAGTCCCAATGGCAACATCAAAAGCACTCTGAAAGGCCCCCGGATAGGGGAGACCCCCACTCAAGCCACAGGAGATTACATCCACCCAGAATCATGCAAGAGACCAAACTTGCTGCAAACCCCAAAAGGCTTTATTTCCGGATTTCAGGATGTCAGCCAGCTGAGGCCGAGACTCACAAGAGGAGCGTTGACCCCTAAGCCAGATGGAGAAGGGTATTTAAAGGAAAAAAACACAAACCAAGGAGGTGATGGGGAATCATAAAAACATCAGCGGACAGTATTATAAAAACAGTGGAAGGTCATTCGATCATGTGGGAAACACACCCTGTGTACTAATTTTTTTCAGGACTTTATTCTTGTTCAATCATCTACTTTGTGGTTAGACAGTTCCTGGAGTCTAGAGCTCGTGAACCAACTGACCTTCATTCTTACATGGTCAGCTAAGTTCCTGGAACCCAGAGCTCTTGAACTGGCTGACCTGCATTCTTGGTTCTGCTCAGTCTGCTAGGGGTCATAAAAACTTCTATACCTTTCAATTCCAACACTGAAGACTCAGGGAACTTTTTGGAAGAGGAGGTAGAAAAAAATGTAAGAGCCAGAGGATCAGGGAGTTGTCTCTGAGATTGTGTCTCCTAGTACTGTCAGAAGCTACAACTATGATGCCTAATCAAATACAACTACCCAATATGAGCCAAACAAAGACACCACCAATGAACATCCCAAATTAACCGAGAAAAAGGCTGGATGAGCCAATCCATGTTCACAAATGTATAAAGAACTAATTTAGAATTACGGTAACTTAAAACCTAATAGTTCAATGGGTTTGAAAGATTCTGTAAGAAAACATGTCAGAGGTGAGTGAAATTATTGTACTCAATATGAAACGAAGTTTAATCATCAGTATATTTGCATCAGTTGTCACTACCCATGTTCCACAGAGAAACATTCACAAAATAAACAAACAAACAAATGAATAAAGAACATGGGGCATTTTTCAAAAAACTGAACAATTTTGAATAACAATCCAGACCTTAGAGAACCCCAATCATTTTATAAAATGCTTCCTGTCCTTTGATACACAGCAAAAAAAATATGCTTGTTATTTTCTCTAATAAATAAACTTGCTCTTTGTTATACAAATGAATACTAATCTATCTTCCAAAGTTGTTCTTTAAACACACATTTGAAAACATGACATAGAAGAGAAATACTTACAACCTTTGCCCATAAACTGTTCCAAAATGTGAGGTGACTCATGGAAAACTTTATATCAATAATCTATGAATGATGTTATTGTTACTTGTACTCCATCTTCTTGTAAATAACCAATTAAAGATCTGGACTTATAGGTTTTTGTGTCTAATCAAAGGCATTGAAAACATAGCAATCACTTGTCTTAAATAATGTGAACCTTCATATTTGCAAATTCAATTGGAATAACAAAAACCCAGGATAGTGAAAACTATTCTCAACAATAAAAGAACTTCTGAGGGAATCACCATCTCTGACCTCAAGCTGTACTACAGGACAAAGTGATTAAAACCTGCATGGTATTGGTAGAGACTGGCAGGAAGATCAATGGAATAGAACTGAAGACCCAGAAATGAACCCACACACTTACAGTCACTTGATCTTTGACAAAGGAGTTAAAACCATCCAGTGGAAAAAAGGACAGCATTTTCAACAAATGGTGTTGGTTCAACTGGAGGTCAGCATGTAGAAGAATACAAATTGATCCACTCTTATCTCTTTGTACAGAGCACAAGTCCAAGTGGATAAAAGACCTTCACATAAAACCAGACACACAGAAACTAATAGAAGGGAAAGCCTCAAATACTTGGGCACAGGGGGAACGTTCCTGAACAGAACACCAATGACTTATGCTCTAAGATCAAGAATTGACAAATGGGAACTCATAAAATGGCAAAGCTTCTGTAAAGTAAAGGACACTGTCTATAGGACAAAATGGCAACCAACAGATTGGGAAAACATCTTTACCAATCCTACATGTGATAGAGGGCTAATATCTAATATATACAAAGAACTCAAGAAATTAGACTTCAGACAATTAAATAACCCTATTAAAAATGGGGTACAGAGCAAAACAAAGAATTCTCAACTGAGGAAACTCGAATGGCTTGGAAGTGCCTAAGGAAATGTTCAATATCCTTAGTCATCAGAGAAATTCCAGTCAAAACAATGCTGAGATTCCACCTTACACCTATCGGACTGGCTAAGATAAAAAACTCAGGTGATAGCAGATGCTGGTGAGGGTGTGGAGAAAGAAAACTTCTTCATTGTTGGTGAGATTGCAAGCTGGTACAACCACTCTGGAAATCAGTCTGGTGGTTCCTCAGAAAATTGAACGTAGTTCTACCTGAGGATCCAGCTATACTGCTTCTGGGCATACATCCAAAAGATGTTCCAACATATAGCAAGGAGACATGTTCCAGTATGTTCATAGCAGCTTTATTTATAATAGCCAGAAGATGGAAAAAACCCAGATGTCCTTCAACAGAGGAATAAATACAGAAAATGTAGTACACTTACACAATGGAATATTACTCAGCTATTAAAACAAAATGAATTTGAAAAATTCTTAGGTAAATGGATGGAACTAGAAAATATCATCCTGAGTGAAGTAACCCAATCACCAAAGAACACACATGGTATGTACTCACTGATAATTAGATATTAGCTCAAAAGCTCGCAATTCCCAAGATACAACTCACAGACCACATGAAGCTCATGAAGAAGGAAGATCAAAGTGTGGGTGCTTCAGTCCTTCTAAGGAGTAACTAAAGACTCATGGGAGCAAATACAGAGACGAAGTGTGGGTCAGAGACTGGAGGAAGGGCTGTCTGGAGACTGTTCCACCTGGGTATCCATCCTGTGTGCAGTCACCAAAGGCGGATACTGTTATGGATGCCAGGAAGTGCATACTGACAGGAGCCTGATATAGCTGTCTCCTTAGAGACTCTGCCAGAGCCTGACATATACAGATGAGGATGGTCACATCTAACCATTGAACTGATCACAGAGTTCCCAATTGAGGAGTTAGAAAGAAGACTGAAGGAGCTGAAGGGGTTTGAGACCCCATGAGGAGTGTAACAATACCACTAACCAGAGCTCCCAGGGTCTAAATCACCAGCCTGGTTGCACATAGGGAGGGACTCATGGCTCCAGCTGTATATGTAGGGGAGGATGACCTAGTCAGGCATAGGTGGGAGAAGAGGTCCTTGGTCCAGTGATGGCTGGATACTCCAGTGTGGGGGAATTCGAGGGTAGGGAGGTGGGAGTGGGTGGGTGGAGGCACTCCCTCATAGCAGCCAGCGGGGGGGGCTCCATATTGGGTTTCCGGGGGGGGATTCAGAAAGGGGATAACATCTGAAATGTAAATAAATAAAATAATCCAATTTAAAAAAATAAAAACTAAAATAAAAAAGGACCTGCATATAATAAATACACTAAAGAGAAGCCTTAGCACTTGCAGTGGTCTCCCTGCCCCCATGGCTATTCCCAATTGGTGGTCTTCCCAGTTTCTAGCAGTTGGCTATCCACTGAACCACTCACACTTGCTGGCCACCCTCACCAGCCTGAGGTCTGCTATGGTTACCTCTCTCCTGGAGCCCACCTGAGTTGCCAAGGATATAAAACACTAGACAATCTTAGTGAAGAATCAACAGATGACACAACCACTGAATGTGGAATCTATCATTGTAAACCATCAACTACTCTATGTTAGAAATCTTCCAGGGGATTTTGCCGCCTGATCTAACAGTTCTAGGTCTACAAGGTGCCTCCTTTCACTCCTGCTTCTGTCCAAAAAGGCAAGTTCCTTCCACCTGAGTTCCTTCTTCTTCTCTCAGACCTGGAAGGCCCATCTCCTCCTTTCCCAGTGATTGGCTTCTTGTTGTCCTTATTATCCAATCAATTAATTAGCGGAAAATTCTGCCACAAGCACTTGCTGCAATGAAATAAAACTGAAATGTAGTAAGTTAAAATGAGTTGCAGTGTTTTAGAAGCCAACATTCTATTCAGCAAGAATTTGATAGAGAAAATGGTCGAAAATTATAATGCTATATACTGAGAAACAGCTAGTCTCAGAGAAAACTTATTTCCTGTTAAATAAATTAGGATTAAAGGATACTATTTTTTTTCAAATTTTTTACTTTGGAATGTAGTAAAAAAGATGTATTCTTATTTTCTCTTGAATTGCAAAAGAAAGAAAATTGTCAACCTTGATATAATAGCTGTGTCTACCTGCTTGTAAATACCTTGAATGTTGGACTATAATAGCATAAGAAGTCTAAAATAAATCTAATAAAATAATTGAACTCAGTTGACTCGTAAAACAGAAAAATATTAACAACTATCTTATTTTTTTAATTAAACTTTAGAATGGTTTATGGTGCCACACACAAAAAAAAATAAGAAGGATATTAAAATACTATATCCAATATTACTTAGAGTCCATCTGGTCCTTGAATTTTTCTGTAGCAAACAATATATTTTATATGTGCATCATATTTTTCTCATGAAAAAGGGATGTGGTAACATCTATAATTTCTAGCATTAAAAAGCTCTGATTAACATTTTACCTCATAATGCTAGAATGTATTTATAGTTTCCATCTGTGTAATTTATAATAGAAAATATCTAAAATGAGGAATTGGCACAAATGCTTATAATTTCCATGAATGTCCTACTTACTATTTTTTGAAGAAATAATTTCAGAGATCAAGATATATTCTATCTTCCAGTTTTAAAGTTATCATTCTTCTCTGAATAGATATTAATGGAAAATTGAATAATGTATAAATTTCATAAAACATCTCATAATAAGTATGCCTAAATTTCATCAGTGTTTTTATTGATCACCTATGATACATATAAATAATATCTGTGAAGAACAGCAGTATGACTAATTTCCACAATTCATTATATAGCAAGTTATTGGTTTCATGTAAAATTGGTAAATTTTAAGGTATATTCGTTTATTTTTAGTTCCTAATTTCCCACATTCACCTCTTAACCTCAGAGAAATAAGGATTCTTCCTATTTGTAGGTATTCATAGTTTTGTTAACCAAACTTCTGTAGAGAAACAAATTGTAGAGTGGTTAATGAATGTGACTAGGAGAAGATATTTACTCATGATTATGGAAAATGAGCTGTTTCTTCTCTGCAAATTGGAGATTCTGGAAAGGCAATGGTATAGCATGACAAATAGGAATTAGATTCATTGTGATTTAGAGCCAGTTTAAGATCACTGATTGCTGTGTGCAGTGGTATAGGGAGGAAGAACTTGACAACCGCGGCTGACTGCTTCACGGATCGCGGAACTCACGCGGTTTCTGTGCTGTGGAGATGTTTTTCACAGTATGAACAGATAACCAGCAATGAAGACTTGCCAATCCCAATGGAAAACCCCTACAAGGAGCCTCTTAAGAAGTGTGTCTTGTGTGAGAAACGTGTAGATTACAAGAATGTGCAGCTTTTGTCACAGTTTATCTCTCCATTTACTGGATGCATTTACGGAAGGCATATAACAGGTCTTTGTGGAAAGAAACAGAAGGAAATAACTAAAGCCATTAAGAGAGCTCAGAAAATGGGGTTTATGCCAGTTACATACAAGGATCCTGCATATCTCAAAGACCCTAAAGTTTGTAACATCAGATACCGAGAATAAACTTTGTAAAGTTTCTGCCAATAAACCTGTAAGTGGTTATGTCAAAAAAAAAAAAGATCACTGAGAGGAATAGAATATGAATACTGCAGCTCAGCAGTATTTAAATATAGCATGTTCAGATCTACCCTTTATCTGACCTTTTGCTCTTTTCTGGTTCTCAGTAGATACAAGATGCCCATCCATATTGGAGAGGGCAGTTTTCTCTACTCAGTACTCCAATTCAAGTGCTAATTGCTTCTAGAAAGATTGTTAAAAGTATGCTCAGAAATTGAGTTTAAAGAGTTCTTTGGGTATTCTGTGGTCTAATTAATTTACCCATAAAAATTAATCATCACAATAGTCATTTTCTATGGACACAAGCTTTTACCCCATTACTAGTTTTTCTTAAAGAGGAAATCTACATATGTGTGGCTGGGCATTGCCAGGATCAACACTGAATAAAGAAATAAAAGATTAGTAAGATAAGTATAGCTAATTGTTTGAGCGAAGGTATTTAAGAGGAAGTTAAATAGAACCAGCGAAAATCACCAAGCTATTCTACCTCACTCCTTTCAGAAGTCTCAAAGTAAACATTACACATTATATTAGTTTCTACATTCACCAGTGACTCATTCTTGTCTGCCACTTTGAACATGTATAGGATAATGATCTCAAATTAATCATTGTTGGTTATATGGCTGAGACTAGCTAAAGCAGCTTGCTTTCATTCATTTCAGTTGTAATGTTTATTTACTTCAGTATATCTTTGAAGGCAATTTCCTCCTAGCTCCAGACAAAAATATAAAGTATTATTTTGCAGCAGCTAGAACAATTAAAATGACAATTTTTCCAATATGAATACACATACATTCCCCCACCAAAGTCTCTTGCTTTATCCATGAGTCTACAATTTTGTTATTATCTTCTTTGAGAAGCTTTGAGAGTCATGTTTAAGTACCATTTCTTTGTTTAATAAAAATAAATATGATGAAAATTTACTCAGGTGTTGGTCTGAATGAAAGAAATAGAAAACCAAGGAGAGGAGAAGAGAGATAAAATGAAATAATATGGATAGGAATATTAAGATTCTGTTTTAAGACTCTCTCTCTCTCTCTCTCTCTCTCTCTCTCTCTGTGTGTGTGTGTGTGTGTATGTGTGTGTGTTGTGCTGTGTGATTGTCTGGGTATGAGTGCCAACAGAAGCAAAATAAGGAGGAATTAGATACTTTGGACCTGGAATTATAGGTATTGATGACCTGTCCAATTTATTCCACTGTGTTCATAGTGGTTTTGTTTGTGACAACCAGAAGCTAGAAACAACCCAGATGTCCCATGACAGAAGAATAGAAAAAGAAAATATGGCTCATTTACACAATGGAATACTATTCAGCTATTAAGAGCGAGGACATCCTGAGTTTTGCAGGCAAAAGGATGGAACTAGAAAATATCATCCTGAATGAGGTAACTCAGACCCAAAAGGACATGCATGGAATGTACTCACTAATAAGTGGATATTAGCCAAAAAAAAAAAAAAAGTACAGAATGCACAAGATACAGACCATAGAACTCAAAAAGTCAACAAGATGAAGGACCCAAGTGAAGATACCTTAGTTCCACTTCAGAGGAAGAAGAAAGCAATCACAAGTGAGGAGGGAGGGAGGGACCAGGGAGGGGAAGTGTCTGGGGGTGGGAGGGGGAAGAGGGGAACTTAATCTGGTATTGGGTAAAGGGAAAGGACTGAAGCTCTGAAAGCCAGAAGATAATTGAAACAGGAAACCTCAGGAGGTAAGAGGTTGGGGGTACCCTCCAGAATGCACCAGAAACCTAGAAGGTGACAGACTCTCAAGACTCAAAGGAAGGGACCTCAGATGAAATGCCCTACAGTAGGGAGAGTAAAGTTATTGAGTCCACCTCCAACAGAAAGACAGGGTATCAAGTGAAAGAGGGGGTTGCCATCCATCAGTCAAAATTCTGAACCATAATTGTTCCTGTCTGAAAGAACTGTATGGATGGAAATGGAGAGGACCCTGAGGAAAAGAAGGTCCAGTGACAGGCCCAAAGTGGGATCCAGCTCAAGAGGAGGTCCCAAGGCCAGACACTTACTGAGGTTATGGATCACTCACAAAAAGGGGCCTATCTTGACTGCCCTCCAAAAGACCTAAAAAGATGAAAGATGAAAGATGAAAAGAGATGAAAGAGAAAGATGACACAGATGAAAGAGTCAGATGCAGATATTTGCTCCCAACTAATAGACAGAAGCTGCTTAGCCGTGTGGTTGAATTCAGGAAAAGCTGAAAGACATTGAGGAGGACTCTGTAGGTAGACCAGAAGTCTCAATTTATCTGGACCCTGGACCCTGGACCCTAGAGATCTCTAAACACTGGACAGCATATACCAGCTGATGTGAGGCCCTTAACACTATAGAGCAGAGGACTGCTGGATTCAGTCAGAGAAGATGTACCTAAGCCTCAAGAGACTTGAGGCGTCCCTTGCTTGGTCCTTTTGGCTGGAGCAGACACCTAGATGGCCACCTCCCATGAAGACACAATATCCTGAGCCATCCTAGAGGAGCCAATGTACTCACAACAGAAGGTAAGAGCCCTCTCTCACAACCCTACACCACAGAGCTGCAACTGGAAGCCAACCCATCAGCCACCAAAACCCTGCCCCTCTAGAATACCACTCCCCTTCTGCTCCAGACACTTTAGCAGTCTCCTCCCTTGAAGACACCATATCCTGAGGCATCCTAGAGGAACCACTGCACTCAGAGCAGCAGAATTTGAGAATCACAGAGGCAGCCTGAGTCCCAGAAGCTCTTCCACCTAGGAGCTCATGATCACAGGATCACAGAGACTGGACTCTGAGGAGTTCTGACACAAGCAAGATAACTGGAAAGACAGGCACCAGTCAGAGACGGTGAGTATAGGTAGCACTAGAGTTTACCAGATGACAAAAGGCAAGCACAAGAACATAAGCAACAGAAACCAAACTTATGTGGCTCATCAGAACCCAGTTCTCCCACCATAGCAAGTCCTGGATACCCCGTCACAATGGAAAAGCAGGATTCAGAATTAAAATCACTTTTCATGATGATGATAGAGGACTTTAAGAAAGACATAAATAACTCCCTTAAATAAATACAGGAGAACACAGGTAAACAGGTAGAAGCCCTTAAAGAGGAAACCCTAAAATCCTTAAAGAATTGTAAGAAAAGGCAAACAAACAGGTGAAGAACTTAAACAAAACCATCCAGGATTTAAAAATGAAAGTAGAAACAATAAAGAAATCTCAAAGGGAGACTACTCTGGAGACAGAAATCCTAGAAAAGAGATAAGGAGTCATAGATGCAAGCATCACCAACAGAATATAAGAGAGAAGAGAGAATCTTATGTACAGGAGATACCATAGAAAACATTGACACAACTGTCAAAAAAATGCAAAATGCAAAAAGCTCCTAATCCCAAACATCCGGGAAATCCAAGACTCAATGAGAAGACCAAACCTAAGGATAATAGGTATAGATGAGAGTGAAGATTCCCAAATTAAAGGACCAGTAAATATGTTCAACAAAATTATAGAGAAAAACTTTCCTAACCTAAAGAAAGAGATGCCCGTGAACATAAAAGAAGCCTATAGAACTCTATATAGACTAGACCAGAAAAGAAATACCTCCAATCATATAATAATCAAAACATCAAATATATAAAACAAAGAAAAATACTAAAAGTAGTAAGGGGAAAAGGTCAAGTAACATATAAAAGCAGCCCTATAAGAATTACACCAGATTTCTCACCAGAGACTATAAAAGACAGAAGATCCTAGACTGATATCATACAGACCTAAGAGGACACAAATGCCAGCCCAGACTACTATACCCAGCAAAACTCTCAATCACTATAGATGGAGAAACTGAGATATTCCATGACAAAAACAAATTTACACAATGTCTTCCCACAAATCCAGCACTACAAAGGATAATAGATGGAAAACAACACAAGGAGGGAAATTATACCTTAGGAAAAGCAAGAAAGTAATCTTTCAACAAACCCAAAAGAAGATAGCCACACAAACAAAACCCCACGTCTAATAACAAAAATAACAGGAAGCAACAATCAGTTTTCCTTAATATCTCAACATTAATGGAATAAATTCCCCGATAAAAAGACGTAGACTAACAGACTAGATACATAAATAAGAGCCAGAATTTTTCTGCATACAGGAAATGCACCTCAGTGACAAAGACAGGCGCTACATCAGAGGAGAAGGCTGGAACACAATTTTCCAAGGAAATGGTCCCAAGAAACAAGGTGAAATAGTCATTCTAATATCAAATAAAATTGACTTTCAACAAAAAATTATCAAAAAAGATAAGGAAGTACACTTTATACTTATCAAAGGAAAAATCTACCAAGATGAACTCTCAGTTCTGAACATCTATGTTCCAAATGCAAGGAGACCCACATTCATAAAAGAAACTTTACTAAAGTTCAAAGCACACATTATACCTCACACAATAATAGTGGGAGATTTCAACACCCCACTCTCAGCAATGGACAGATCATGGAAACAGAAACTAAACAGAGACACACTGAAATTAACAGAAGTTATGAACCAAATGGATTTAACAGATATCTATAGAATATTTCATCCTAAAACAAAAGAATATATCTTTTTCTCAGCACCTCACGGTGCTGAGACCATATAATTGGTCACAAAACAGGCCTCAACAGACACAAAAAGATTGAAATAATCCCTTAAATCCTATCAGATGACCATAGACTAAGGCTAGTATACAATAATAACAAAAACAATGGAAAGCACATATACACGTGGAAACTGAACAAAGTTCTACACAATGATGACTTGGTCAAGGAAGAAATAAAGAAATTAAAGACTTTTTAGAATTCAATGAAAATGAGAACACATCATATCAAAACTTGTGGGACTCCATGAAAGTAACACTAAAAGGAAAACTCATATCTCTAAGTGCCTACAAAAAGAAACTGGAGAGAACATACACTAGCAACTTGACAGCACAACTGAAAGTTCTATAACAAAAAG